CCCGCCGATGGACGACCGCTATTAGAAAACACTTTTTATGTTATTATGTTATGTTATTAGAAACAACTTTTTGATGATTTATGTTTTTATATTGTTCCGAAACTGGGCACGAAGCCAGGCCCTGCGGAATGGTGGCGCGCACTGCTAACCACTTCACCACAGCAGCCGTCGGCGACATTTATTACCGGACTAAAAAATCATTTTGTCAAGAAAAGGTAAATTGTATAATCACCAAGCGCTCAATATATTGTGGACCACTCGCTTTTATCAAAAATACTGTTTTTCTTCACCTCGGTTTGATCAGAAGCAAACCATCGAACACCGCTACAGCTGAGATACATATGTATGTACAGCAACTTATCCTTACCTGTATAACTTATAGCAATTTTTTTTGTTGAAGGTGTCGCTCATTTTATTCCTTCAACAAAAAAATTCCCCAAAAATCAATGGTAGTCCTCATACTTGCACTTCATTATACTAAAATTGAATGGGCTAAAAAACTGCATACTCAGCTTTTTTCTAGAGAGCGTAAATAAAAAGTGCAATATTTGAATGAAATTTTGCAGAATTTTCTTTAATTTTGCAAAAGGTTTGGAACTTTGAATTTTGGGGGTTTTGTTGAAGAATTAACCATATTTTTATAAAAAATTAGCGAAAAATAAAATATTGAAAAAATAGTTGCCCATATTGTAAAAAATTCGCTGTACCTAAACTTTATTGCATGACTGTATGTATGTAACTATGCATTCTCATAGCCAAATAACTTTGATAAATTGTCAGCCACTTCGAATTTACAATCGTAAAGGAGAATAAATTATCCGAGATTTATTGCGCGAATCCTAGCTCGTTAAAACTTATTGCGAATTGCATGATAATCACCTGTTGTATGCTATAGCATAAATGTCAATTATCGCTAATATTGCGGTAACAGTCAGCGCAATGCGGAGGATTGTTGCTCAATGTAACTGCAACCTGTAATTGGATAGGCTAGAGAGTCAACTAAAATACATATTTGCATAGCTGTAATCAGCAATTTAATAGTGAACTAGGAATGCAGAAAGTACAAAGTGGTTGCAAGAAAAAAAAAACGAATTGTAAATAAGGTATTTCTGTTATTGAATGAAATTCTATCACACAATTTGTAGATGTTTTTTACTACTGGTGCTGGTATTGAAAATTAAAAAAAAAACTTGCTCTGAAATTGTACATAATGGCAAGAAATAAAACCAAAAGAATCTATGTAAGTTTTGTACTTTGTTTAAAAGCTATTTAGTTGTAGGCTTTGTACGCCTTGGGTGGAAGTTGGAATATAAACGAAAGCAAATTCAGCGTGAACACTTGAGGTTTAAGTAGCGAAAAGTACCGCTAAAAGAAATTGAAAACTTTTCTTTCGACGATTTTTCCACCGCATTCTTCGCTCTTCGGTGTGCTTTGCGCCAACTTTTGTGGTTACCGCTGAGGAGTTGCTGCATCTGTTTTATTCTGTATCTTTTATTTTCTCACACCATTGCAATGGTGTTATTGTTGTCACTGTTTACAAGGCTTACTTGTCATCACCACTTCAATTGCACCCTAAAGGGTGACAAAAACGGTGGCTTCGACTTGTTCGTCAGTCTCCAGACAGAATAGAAAATTTATGCAGATTCTTCATTCTTCATCCATATATATTTACATGTGAGTACAAACAGTAGTGGCCACATATGTAATTACCCAGTACGGCATAGCTCAATCAATTACCTTAGAAAAATTAATTTATTTCTACTTCTGTAGCAACTAACTTCAAATTGATTGATTATGGATAAACCAAATGCTTACACTTTGCAAATAATTTAATATTATTTGAAAAATCATCTAAATGTGGACAATTGACTATTTCAGCATGAAAAGACATCTGCAAAAGAAACATACTAGGGCTATTCGCGATTCGGTGCATAAGAGCTGACAAATTTATGCAATTGCGGAAATATGCCATGGATTGTGAGTGATCTTTATTAAACTGAAATGGTAAAACTTTGTTTTATGCTATGGATTTTCGGTATTGCGAATTTGTCAAGCCATGACAAATGCAAATGCGTGTATTTTGTTTGTGTATTGTAAATAATTTGCAATGATGCCCTACTGACTTTGAAGTTTTTTAAGCCAAATGTATTTTAAAGTTGCAGAGTCGGAAAATCTACTTGCTACTTGCACACAATTCAAACTGCACATTTGAAAGCACATTTATATGTCTGGCTGTAGCTGAGCGTGCAGAGATGCCTGCTGTTACTTGTTAGCTTCCAGAAGGTCCAGGTTCGATTTCCAACAGAGAAAACATGTTAAAATGCTTTTTTTGTGGTTTTTAAATATGAAAAAGCATCTGTGAAGTGCAGAACGAAAGTATTTTTAACTAGTTGAAAGCAAATGCAGAGTCGGATAATTGATTGATGCCTAGGAAATCGCTATGTTAAAGTCAACAGTTCGTTCCAAGGAAGAAAGTCGGATCCTCAACTAGTTGTGGTGGGTAAAAAACTAGTTGAACATCGATATTTAAACTAGTTTCTTTCCGTACTGGGTAGGGACACTACTTCTTTGCAAAATTTGGTTATTTATGTTTCCTTTATTTATTTATTTACAAAAACATAGTTTTACCACAACGAACGCCAAGTAACTCAAAGTTCCAAGCCATGTACAAGATTTATAAAAAATCACCAGCTTAAAAAAAAGGTCATACAAATTATAGCGAATTCAATTTCGTACAATATTGTGCAACTTTCAAGCGGCTAGGGATACGCATTGATTTTTGGAACTTTTTTTTTGCTGGCGGTGCTACTCATGTGTCTGTGTTTGTTACATTTACTAGGTCTTTGTTTGGAAAATAGCGGTTTTTCGAATCTGAAAGATATGTCTAAAGTATCAGTATTTACGTTAATTGCAATAAACAATATCCCATAAAGATAAGGGTTAACAACATACATGTGAAGAAAAAATAAATAGTCAATATTTAAAAGGATTTAGTGTCTCTGACTATGTGGCCATCACTGTGTATACGTACGTATGTAGTACATTTTATACAAACATTTATACATTTTTAACAAAATACAAACTAGATGTGCTTGTTGAAAGGGTTGGTAAAGGGTGCGAGCTGTGCGGTTCGGCTCAAAACAAGCAATAAAAAATGTTTCTGGTTAAATTTTCTAAGCTTCTGTGTTGCCGTATTTGTTTTGATTTCCTTCATTTATTTGGTTTTTTTTCTATTCTTTTATTTGAAAAGGATTTAGCAAAGAATTTCACCTCGATGATTTTATGATGGAGCACTGAATGGATGCTTGTTACCCGCAATTTGCCATGAGTGGGCGGGTGGCAGTAGGGCAGCAACAGCAATAAATACACGGTAAAAAATTTGGGTTTAATTTTTAAACCGCGCTGGGATTACTGCCTTTTTAATCTTTTATAGTCTACTTTTTAAACCAGTCAATAGTTTTAAGCAATTTTTAATATTTTCTGGTTTATAGTTACGTCCAGCCAGCCGAGAAAATGATGTTTTGCTATGAGTAGTTTAAAATTAAAACCAAAAAGTTCGTGGTTTCAAATATAGGCCCTATTTGTTTGAAAATCACNTTTTTAAACCAGTCAATAGTTTTAAGCAATTTTTAATATTTTCTGGTTTATAGTTACGTCCAGCCAGCCGAGAAAATGATGTTTTGCTATGAGTAGTTTAAAATTAAAACCAAAAAGTTCGTGGTTTCAAATATAGGCCCTATTTGTTTGAAAATCACACCAAAATTTTTTAATTCTAGTTTCTAGGTTTCATATATAGAAAATTTGGTTTAAAATCTTAACCGAAATAGAAAATATTTGCCTCAATGTGCCTTATTTTATATGTCTCTCAGAGAGAGAGAGAGAGAGCAAATCTTATGAACTGACGGCATCAACACAGCGAAATGTGGTGTTGATTTAAACTCAAGCTGAGTGTGCCAAGATGCTTGATATAATTGGTTACTACCAAGGCTGTCCGGGTTCAATCCCCATCAGACGGAGCATAATATTTAAGTCTTTTTTATTCTTAATTATGAAAAAGCTTTCCTGAAGTGTAATGTAAAGCAAACGAAATAGAAAATGTTTGGGTTTAAAATTTAAACCGAATTGTTTAAATTCTAAACCCAGCTTATGTGCTCTCTTTTTTTAAACTTCAATGTTTGTGTGGTAAACTAAATTTAGTTTGGTCATATATGAAGTCCAAAAAGTTTAAAATTAAAACCGAAACTTTTAACCGTGTACCTACACGGGAAAGCAGTAAATGTAGGAGCAAAAAGCTAATATGCAACCCTGCTATGCTCGACAGAAAGGTCTAAATTCCGACATTTATGCACATTTAGCCAACGTTTTACGCTGTTTGCCTATTTAATGCCGGAGACAAATAAATATGAGTTCGCGTTTGTAACAAGAAGAAAAAAAAGCGTTGAAACTCCGAAAAGTATGCAAAGTATTTTGAATTAGCCACACAAAAAGCAAATGAAGTGCGAAACGGGCGCGACAATGTGACACAAATGCAAAGCCGCGAAAGGAGTTGGAAATTGATTGACGGAAAGAAGAAAGGGGCGCAAAGGTTTCAGTTGGAATAAACTTTTTTTTTATAATTTCTATTTTGTATTGTTGCAAGGATTGCTTGCGTGTTGCTGACAAGTATCGCACGCTCGTTCCGGCATAAAATCTTAGCAGTCTTCAATGCTGACAAATTCAGATGATTTGAAATGCCACTGCTTTTGCAGCTTTTACTTTTTTATTACCAGTGCCTTCATTTGTTTAATAAGAGGTCATTTTTAGGGTTAAACTCCAAGCGTATACTATTAAATAATGTACACAGTCAATCAGTTAAACAAATATTTTTTTTTCCGTGTTAATCAATTTTTGCTCACCAATTAACTCAACGGCACTAATGGGGATTTTGTTTCTACCAAAAAATGTCGCCTTTTGATTGCCCCTTTCTCTTTTCGTGAATAAATTTTGTGTTCGTTTCTTAAAATATCACACTCTTTTAAAAAACTCACATTCTCTTCCTTGTGAAACTTTGTCATGGTAGATGGTTCCCGTGAAAATCAGATGGTTGTTTAAAATAACAATATTATGAAATGCGAGAGACAAGGACAAGAAGGCAAAAACATGCCTGTTTACAGGGTTGAGTGTAAAATAAAACACCTTTTGCACCGGGGTAGGGCAACATTTTTTAGAAGAAACGAAATCACCATAATAATATTGTAAGATAAATTGTACTTGATTATGTATATTTATAATTTCTGTAAAGTTAGCCCGGTACAGCATCTCCTTATCATGCTTTCTTCGATGCTGGCAGGATTAAAGAAAGATTTCCAAAGAGATGTTAATGCAAATTTTCGAGGGCTTTTTCTCAATAACAAGTTACATAACGATTAAAACCAGTCAATCAATTCCTTCTTCTGCATAGCCGCACCGCTAAGTATTATGACACACAAATGTATATTAATTTTTAATTTATCTGCAAAAATTACCGTCTTCCAGAACTCTTGAGGCTTTAAGACCTGCTCTTTAGCAAACATCTGCTTGCGTAGTCTATTATTAAAGTATTTTCATCAGAGTACGAAAACAAACCGAACGCATCACTGCCCATTCACTACAAGTTCAAAAAATGTTTGTTCAATTGCAGCTGAGTACAAACCAAACGAATTGTTTGTTCTTTTGCTACCACGACTGCGTTAAAGATACTCATCCTGAGCCAAACTGAAATAAAACAAGATACACAAAACGAAGTAATCTTTCCATTAAGTGCTCATTAAGGCATCTAGTACCGGAAATAAAAAATTGGGTATTATTATTGAGAATCTCCTGCAGATAAGCACAGCTTTCTGGTAGAAAAATATTTATTTTTAACTATTCTATACCATTTCTACGAAAAGTGGTTTTTTCCCCATATAAAATACATGGAAAACTTTGGGTGCTTTGAGCGTCCTCTAAATATTTTTTGATTAAAAAAAAAAATAAGGGTATATTCTTTCCGGTATAGAACAATCCTAGGGGGCGAGAGCATAAGAATTCCGATTTTACTTTTTCACATGCATTTTTGGACCACCCTACTGTACAAGCTCGTTAAGTTTCTGACAGTTTTATGGTCAGGTGTTAGGAATTGGTATTAGCAGCGCTTATCAGTGTCAGTAAATATTTATTCGAATACCTCTATTCCGCATCTGATGCTTATGGACAAAGTTTATTTTATATTTCATTTTGATGAACTTTATCTTATTTTGTGGATTCTTAAATTCTTATTTATTTGTTCCAATTAAATTTTTTTTTATATATCTGTGTTTTCTTTTTAATAATATATTTATTCCAGTTTACTTTTTTTTACTCCTGATTTAGTCGCATATTGTTACTTACAATTTTTTAATTCTTTTTTTTATACCCGAGCGCACTTGGCCACAAGGGTATATTAATTTTGTTCACATAACGGTTGTTTGTAACAGCCAAAACGAATCGAGATAGATATAGACAAATGTATACATAAATGATCAGGATGAAAAAAGAAATCGATTAAGCCATGTCTGTCTGTCCGTCCGTCTGTCCGTCTGTCCGTGTACACGATAATCGAGCCAAAATTGAGATATCTCAACGAAATTTGGTATGTAGGTTTCCCTTAATCCAAGGTAGGTTGTTATTGAGAATGGGCGAAATCGGACTGTAACCACGCCCACTTCCCATATAACGGTAATTTCCAGAAATACGAAAACTGCGATATTTTAGTAACTACTGAAGATAATTCACTCAAAATTGATATTTACAATATATTTCAGACAAAAAATAAGAATATTGTAAATTAAAAAAAATGGGCATAGCCACGCCCACTTATGGTTACATGTGCATATCTTGGTAACCGCTGCACCAATTTCTTTCAAACTTGGCACAGTTGTTGGCCTTGGTACAGCATACTAAATCCCATATAACGGTAATTTAGAGAAGTACAAAATCTTTGATAAATCAGAAAATATTAAAGCTAATTTATTCTAAATTGATGCTTGCAACAATTCTTTACCAAGAAATACGTTTATGATAAAATTATGGAAAATGGGCGTGGCACCGCCCACTTATGATCACATATATGTATATCGGTAACCGTTATACCAATTTGTACCAAACTCGTTATTTTTATTGTGCCAAATAAAAGCAAAACGTTGAAAATTATTAAAATCGGACTAAAATTACGGCCGCTTTTCATATAACGGTAAATTTCAGAAATGCTTGAAACTGGAATATTTCGAAATTTAAGGACGCTAATTTACTCAAAATTTATACACCCCGTCTTACCATCTAGCGGTAGCGGAAACGTGAAAAACATATATTTAATACTTGCGCCGGGTATTTAATGTTCGGCTCCGCCCGAACTTAGACTTTCTTACGTGTTTTTCGGTTTAATTGAATTTTTTTTTTTATATATCTTTACTTGTTTTTTGCAATATTATATTTAGTCCAGAGTACCTAATTTTATTCCTGATTTAGTTGCATTTTGTTACTTAAAATGCCGAAAATTTTGTTATCCTCTTTCCAGATACATATGTAAGTTCATATGTATGTATGTACATACACTAAATTCCATAAGTGTTTTCCGCACTTTTCCCTCTTTAGCATCCGTTCATCATCTTTACAATGCAAGCTAATTTCTTTTCAACTGCTTCATTTTGCCGCCTCTACCGCCATCGCAAAATTGCCCATTTGCTGTTATTTTTGTAACCATGAAAATGGCGCAACATATTTGCATAAAACAATTTCGCGCATTTACCCTTCATTCGCAAAAAAGCAAGAGCAAACAACAAGCAGCAATGAAAGTCAACAAAAATCAAGCTAAAAGAAGCATACAGCCTGCTAACCCACTTGCTGGCATTGCTGTATTTTTCGTCAAGTGCCCGCCACTTTGAAAATTTCAAGTGCAACATTCACTCAGCCATACCGGCAACCACATATGTACGCATGTATGTATGTAAATACACACTCTTGCATTCGTATATATGTATGTACGCATATGCAAGCCACACAATATCAGCATGCACTGGCACACATTTTCACATTCGTAATGGAAGGGGTCGAGTGCCAACAAAGACAACATTAGCACACTTAAGTTTATTTAAATAAGTCAACTTGAAGTGCCTCTGTAGATAGATGCATACAAACATGCATATGTATATACGCTTTCACACAATTGTATGAGTTTCCACCCGACTCCAATGGCAATGTACCCCTAACAACAAACATGAAATTGCCTAACGTTAGCATAACATTGTTATTGCTTTGTGTTCTTGTTTGTTTTTCTCGCCACATATGTAAATTGCTATGGATGGGTGTAGATCAGTGATGCCTTAATGCATTTGTATGTATGTAAGTGCATTTTAAAAGCCTCAAATCGCGACGTGCATGCATATGGATGTGTGTATGCGTTAAGGCGCGTTAATGTGTGTCTAAGCGCTCCTGCTATGGTGTTGAATATTTGCTTAGCGAGCGTCTCATTTTTTGTTGCCCTTTTCATTCCATTTGAATAGATCAGGCGTATAATGATTTTTGTTAAAGACCCATTCATTCATGTCAGGGACCATAACGATTATAAGAAATGAAATAAATATTGCTGTATAGTTATTATTGACCGTTAGACCAAAAACCTTTTCATCTTCTCCTAATAATTATCTGGGACTTATATTTTTTTCGTCTCACGGAACGATTATTTTACGGTGAAAATTATTTTTGTCTTCCCATTCAAATTATTTATATGGGACTTTTACTTTTTTCGTCTCGGGACGTTTAAGCAACACTGGCTGCAAACGTGTTTAAGCGGCGCACAGTGACATACTTTTTACCGACTCCACAAAAAGGAGAAAGGTTATCAATTCTTCGGAAATTTTTATATTTTTTTTATATTTTAATTTTTTTTTGTATGTTACCGCATAACTTTGGACCACGTTAACTGATTTCTATAATTATTTTTTTAAGGTGGTCCCATATTGATTTGGTTTAAGTCCGATCATCTGATCATGAAGCAATTAACGATAATCTTAAATTTTTAAATGAGAATTGAAGTTTTTTGCTTAAAAATTACTTATTCACAATATAGATAACATATATGTATATTGTTACTTGCATATACACTTGCGATAAGCTAATTAAGCCAGGCACCGTTTTGTTCCATTTTGGATTTTTTTTACTTTAACTTTGCAGTTTTTTTTATAGTTTTTGCCCAAAGTTTGATATATGGATTTATATGGTGGTTGTTGTATAATGAGCTCTATTTTCATTTTTAAAAATTTCACATAATAGAAAATAAAGACTAGAAAACCTTCGAAATGAAATTGATGGAGACTGAATTTTTTGGTTATAAGTGGGCGTTGACTTTATCATAAATGTTAATTTTGAGTAGCTTCTCTTCTAAAATATTGAAGTTTTTGTACCTTGCAAAAGTTCCGTTATATATTGTTTATCGTACTATTTAAGTTATGTACTTTCAATGTCAGCTACTTACTTGGGATCAGCTGATTAAGTCATAAACATTTCCATCAATTTTGGCTATTTTTCTTTTGTTTATTTAATGTTTATTATTCCATAAAAGTCTATCTCATTATATAACTAGCACCATATAAATCCACATTTCACACTTTGTGTAAAAAGTATAAAAAATCTGCAAAGTTTTAGCTAAATTTTCAACTTTTTATTCAGATTTTTAAGGTTTTTTTTGAGTATGCAGTTTAATAGCCCATTAAATTCCAGGGTAATAATGTGCAAATTTTAAATAGCTAAAGAATCGAGTTAGGCCTCCAAATTTTATTAACTCGCGCCGGATCAGTATATATCGTCAGCAAAAACAAAAATTTTAAATTTATATTCTTTTTGGTTGTCGTTGCTTCCGACAGGGTTTGATAAGGGATAACGTAAACTCGTTCCAAAATACATCATTTGAAATTTACACAGAATTTGGTAAGGAGAGAGATATGACAACAAACTAAAGCAATATTTAAAAAACGCAAT